TCAGCACCGCCTCCTCCTCCACCACGGCCACCTTCTCTTTCGTTGCGAGTAGCGGCTCAGGTTCCACATCGACTACGTAGTCTTCTTCAAGCACCATGTTGTCGTCGCTGACCGTGCGCGGCTGGTCGACCAGGGCAGAAGATGACGATTCCAGGGACGACGTAGAGGCTGCCTGTAGCTGGTGAGGTGTTGGTTGGTGTTGGCGGCGGCGCGAGCGTCGTAGGTTGTCGTCCTTGACCCAGAGAGGGTCCTCGAAGTCGTCATCGCTCCACTCATCTTCCTCTGAAGTGGTCGAGATGTCCGAGGAAGACGAGTAGAGGGACGAGAGCTCGGACGAGGAAGTGGAGTCGACTGAGAAGATGCCGTTGGGCGCACGACGGGACACCCGACGTAGAGAGGGTAGCACCCGAATGGAGACGGCGCTCTTGCTCGAGTGGATGCTCGCCCTGCTGCCTGCCGATGTAGTCAACATGTTCGAGTGAAGTGGCGAGGCGAGTAGTGCCAGTAGTGCAACGTCTAGCTCTGTGCAAGAAGAGTAACGTTGTGAGCTGGAGAAGAAGGACACCTGTGGCTGTTGTTGCGACACCAGGACGGTTCTGGAGGCTTAGGGGAAAGGTATTGATGTCGTGTAGTGAGTGATCGAGGCTCCACCGCAGGAGCTTGGTCCCCTTCTCGTAGTGTCAAGTGGCGACGATGAACTGCTGCGTGTGGTGTGTCGCAGGTCTCCAAATCCCAACCCTGGGTGCGCATCAGCAGGGCGTGCATGTGCCATGAATTTCAGTGGCTTGGCGAGGTTGTGGTGGTCCATTAACCACTGCACGCGAAGAAGATCTACAAGAAGACCGTTCGAGTTGTCGTTTAGTGGAGCCACCTCTCCACCACTTTCAGGCCTGCTTGCCCAGCCAATCTGCTTCGGCCCACGGGAAGCGACACAGGGCAATTGCCAGACAGCAAGTGCAATAAAGAAAATCAAAGAGAAAATGGGAACTCACCAAAGAAATAAAAACGAAAGAGGCCTCGAGCTGGAGTGGCCACTGCGTAACGTGCGGTCATGAAACAGAGGAACAAGAAAAAAGGCAAACAGCAAGCAGACACGGCAAAGCAGTACATCGATTTTGCTCTTAATAATAATTGAAATTAAGATTATAATTATTGAAACAAATCTGCAAAACAAATGGCTTGGGTGCAGGGTGGTGCCACCGGAGGCGGCGGACACATGGCGCCACGTCCCCTGGGAGACGCAGGAGGAAGGGCTGGGCTTTGCGCTGCTCCTGACCAACCACAGCCGCGGGTGTGTGCTCAACTCCCAGAACCTCGTCATCGAGTACCAGCGCAGTACCTACACCTCACCTGCACAGAGCCACCAGGTGGCCGCAAGCGCTTACTCACCTCCACTTCTTCTTTCTTCTACTACTTCGTCTTCTACTTCTTCTTCTTCTTCCTGTGCACACAGACGAAAGTGTTGAATTCTGCCTGGCGCGGGCGCTGAGCAGGTGCGTCGATCATCAGACGACCACCACAACGGCTTCAAACGCGTTCACCAATGCCACAGTCACTAGGGTATACCCTACATTTCTCTCTTTCTTTTCTTCTTCTACTACTTCTTCTACTACACGCACGTGTGATATTGCCCGCACGACCACACAACACATAACACACAACACACACACGACACACACGACACACACGACACACACGACACACACGACACACACGACACACACGACACACACGACACACACGACACACTTGAAGGCGACTAACGTGGGTATCATCAGACCCTTACCCGCATGCTCAGCTCCAGGCCCTTGAGCTTCGTCAAGGACATGCTTAAGGTCGAAGACGTCAGCACTGCAGGGTAATCGCCTTCCTCAATCAACGCACAAGGCATTAGTTCTCATGAGAACGAACGAACGCGCGATGTGTGCGATGTGTGCGATGTGTGCCACAGGTGCGTGACCAAGGACGACTTTGTGCGGCGCTATCTCTCCCACGCCCTCGACCCCAGCAAGTACGTAGGGCCACGCGTTTGACGTGCGTGTGTCGTGTCGTGTTTGTTCTGGTTTTGACACACACGGTGTGCGTGTGCGTGTGCGTGTGCGGTGGTGCGCGAAAATGGCAGCTCGAGGGAAAAGGCAGCGTGCGAGCCGCGCCGGCCGAAGATGGTGGTCTTCGATTCCGTGCCCCTCCAACGCGATTCCCAGCGCGTGCTGCAGCTGTGGGGCGTCAGATCCGCCACCCAACCCCTCTCCGCCGCCAGTACTCGCCGCCCAACCAGTCACTCTGCCACCTTCCGACAAGAATTGCCCTAACCTGCCGCCGCACGACACGCACCACCACACACACTCGCCAACCGCACACGCACACGCCGATGGCTTGGGGGTGCAGTTCGTCGGAGGTTGGCGAAGGAGCTGTACATGGTGCACTGCGGCCGAAACATGGACGATCTGCTGCTGCGGGTGCCCGGCATGAGCGTCGACCTGGTCGCCCGCTTCTTCAAAAGCGCCAGCAAGTTCTACCACGCCGGTACACCCACCCACCCCCATGTGTGCGGTGGTGTGTGTCGTGTCGTGTGTGTCGTGTGTGTCGTACGCGTCGTGTGGCGTGTGCTCAAGTTGTATTGCAGCGCCGTGGCGATATCTGGACGGGCACACGTTCACGCTGAGCATCGGAGACCGGCACTGGCTCGTGTCGGTGCTGGGGCGCATGGGCGAAGGTCCGGCCGAGCTGGCCCGCATCTACCCCGACTACTTCCAATCGAGCGACTGGTACCGCATTCCACATTCCACATTCCAGCAGTCCAGCAGTCCACTAAGCACCGTCGTGCGTGGCTGCAGTGGTCTGTACATGAAGCACTCGCCCGGGTTCACGCAGCCGTCGTCGTGGACGTACGAAGATATGAGGAGACACGGCCTGGAGAGCGTCGACTTCGTGTCCCGTGACGGTACGACACGCGCGCGCGTTCAACTCGTGGCGTGAGATGACTGACCGCACACGCACCACCGCACACACACACGCTTGGTGTCGCTATAGCGGTGCCACTGCCGGAGGAGCGGGCGATGCTGGAGCACGGCTGGAAGCTGGCTGGCGGCGTGGAGGGCTTTCTCAACGAGGGCCACAACACCTTCCCCTATACCACCGTCGAACCCGGTACCACGACCAACGACACGACACGACCAACGACACGACGCGCGGCTAAATAGCGTCGTTATCAGGGCTTGCTGAAGCAGAAAGTGAGGAAGATGAGGAGGAGGAGTGTGGGGGCGCGAGGCGTCCGATTCCGGCGGAGCTGGCCTGGTTGATCTACGCCATGGTGGCCATCAGGAAGTGGGTCAAGCGCGGGCACCTCCGATGCGTGGGTGTCGACGACGACGGCCTCCCCGCCTACGACCCGCACACGTACGCGCCCTCTCATCATCATCGTCGTCATCATCATCATCTACTTTCTATTGTTCTTGTCTCATCGTCGTCCTCGTCATCTACTTTGTCTCGTTCTTGCTTCGTCGTCGTCATGATAGGTTCTCGATCAAGTTGGGCGAGGAGACGGTGCGTATAAGGTTCCCCACGGTGATGGAAGGGCGAGAAGCAGCCGCTGCGCCGCCGGCCTCGCCCGCAACTGCGGATGGCCCAGACAGCACGGCGGCGGCGGCGGGGGAGCCACCACTCCCCGACGCTGGTATGCAACGATGCGCCATGTGCGCCAAACAGGTCAAGGTGAGCAACAACGCGACACGACACAACACACAGGGAAGGAACACTGACGGCAAGTGCGGCGTGCAGGTGAAGTGGTGTTCGCGATGTCGGGAGGTGGGCTACTGCAGCCCGGCGTGCCAGAGGGAGCACTGGCCCGCCCACAAACCCGCGTGCGCGCCCGCCAGCATCACCGCATCAGAAAGGCGACCAGCGGGTGGTGTTGCATGAAGGGACAAAAACATTTGTTTTCTTTCTTTTGCGTTGTAGCATTGCATGATGGAAACCTCGTAAAACACCAACGGGGGACGTGGAAGCCGCATCAGCTTGGTGGTGGGTTGGTGGCCCCCTTCTGTGCGTGCCGTGTCGTGTATCGTGTCGTGTTTAGGGAGGTAAGGTTTGACCTGTTATCAATTTTAAAAAGGTAAATGATTGGCGACGAACCTTGAATAGTTTTTCGATGGTGGTGAAGAGTGCGTTGAACCACTCCTGTTTGGCCTTGTCCGTGCCCGCGCACAGGCTGTACTTGCAGTCGAAGCTCTGGATCAAGAACACGCCCTCTCCATCTGCACTCGCGACCGACAATGATGAATGATTCAACTCTTTCAAATGAAGCCAAGGAGGATCGCGTACAGGAGGCGGGGAGATCGACGACCTGGACCTTCCACAGCTCGATGATCTCCTTGATGATGATCTGATTGCCCATGGCCTCCACCGACCCCTTCGCTCGCAGCGTTTTGGAGAGGTTCAAGCTGCTGCTCAGCCGCTGCACTCATCAACCACCCCCGACAGTGGGCTTGTCAGCGTCGTTGTACGCGCGCGTGCGTGTGCTGTGATGCGGTTGCGTGTCGGTCACGTCGTACCCTGACTCGCGCTGGCCTGACCGACTTCATGGTGGGTGTGAAGCACATGAGCAGGACGTCGTTGAAGAGAATGAGGTGCCGATCTGTCGTGTGGTGTTTCTACGTGTGAGCAGCAAATAGAGACCACCTGTAGGAGAAGGAGGTGGCAACGCAGGAGATACCTTCGGAGCGGGACGGGGGGAAGGGCTTGGAGACGTTCTTGTCCTTGATCATCATCACGTCGCCCTCCTTCACGAACCGGCGCTCCTCGTTCAGCGAAAACGTGATCTTGACAGACCGCTGCCGCTCCGCACCACCGTGCGGCATATCAAACTCCAGCTGCGAGTAGAGCTGTCGTACGCCACAAAAACAAACATATGACATGTTAATTTGGATTATTGTCGCACATCACATCATAGTAATGTGTTTGTGATGTTGATATGAGCATCCACTAGGGGTGTGGAGGTCGAACCTTTTGCACGTAGTCGGCATTCTCAGAGTCTTTTTTCTGTTCGTTGAAGTAGTCGGTCATGTCCTTGATCTTTTGCGTGGCCTTGAAGAGCTGCTCGTAGCACGGGTGTGCTTTGCTCGTTTTTCGCATCAACGCTGTTCGATCACAACGTCGTCAGAACGCGAGCGTGTGCGCATGTGTTACAATGATGTCAGCGACGCCACGGGAGGAGAAGAGTACCGTTGAGGAGCATGACGTAGCGTGGAATGCGTTGGATGGGCTGGATGAGAAAGGACGACAGGTCGGCGTACTCGCATTCCTCGCGCGCCTCGGCCTGGTGAACACACGATTCAGCAAATGCGTGTATGCCGTGTGTCGTGTGTCGTGTCGCGTGTGCGGTGGTGTCGCACCTCTTCTACGAACTGGAAAAACTTGGGTATCTCCTTCTTACACCGCTGGACGGTGGCCAACGAGTTGTCGTAGTTGTTGATGTACCCCGAGTAGAGCTCAAAAAAGGCTTCACGCGTGCGATTAGCCCAAAACGCGTGTCGTGTGTGTGTCGTGTGTGTGTCGTGTGTGTGTCGTGTGTGTGTGTCGGGTGTGTGTCGGGTGTGCGTCGGGTGTGCGTCGGGTGTGTGTCGGGTGTGTCGGGTGTGTGTCGGGTGTGTCGGGTGTGTGTCGGGTGTGTCGGGTGTGTCGTGTGCGGCGCGGGCGACGAAGATTGTGAGTTGGGTGAGTACCAGTGTGTTGAATAAATAGGTCGCCCAGGCTCTTGCTGGCGAAGAGATCAAAGTCGAGAACCCTCTCGCGGAGATATTTGCTGAATTCCTGGTGATGTATGTACAGCTTAGCCACCACCGAGAATATACTCTCCACGTCCTCCGTGCTCTTCAACGGCGCTGCTACTCTCCACCACCGCACACGCACGCACGGGCTTTAGGAACACATCGTGTGTCGTCGTGTGTTATGTGTCGTCGTGTGCGGTGTGTCGTTGTGTGTCATCCCACCTTCTTTGTTGTCGCTCTTGCTCAGGGCGAGGAGCGGTTCGTAGAAGAAGCGGCATAGAACGGAGAGGGCCTTCACATAGTGCTCTTCGGTGACCATCAGCTCGTGGGCCACCAATAATCGCCGCTTGAGCATCCGCGCGCGATACGCCTGCTCACCATGTGCGACACGACACGCACGACACGCGTTGACAACACACACGTGTGAGTGAGTGCGTCACAAGAGAGTCTGTGGGTGGACACTCACGCACCCGTATGAGTTTCTGTATGAGGATGATCTTGACGAGAGTCTCTTTGGAGGGCTCTGAGTCCCATTGTCTGCTCCACAACTTACGCAGCTTGTGTTGCGACTTGAAGTCTCCGCCTGCGCACGACACGCACGACGACACGACACGACACGACACGCACACGAGAAAGAACGTGAGGGAGTGATGGATTGGGGGGGGGCTTGAAGTGTACCTGCGCCGATACCCTTGGAGCTCCCGATGCCCTTGAGGCTCATCAGCATCTTCTTCCCCTTTTGTGTGGCTGATTGACCAAAGACCACATCACGACAAAACGAATTGTGAATTTGGAGAAGATTGATAGAAGATGATGGCGAATTTCTGACAGAATTGGAGAGGATTGATTCCGAAGATGGAGATGGAGATTAACGTACCCTCTCGGATGGAGATGGAGCGGGAGAGCTTGCGATGCTCGCCATCGGCGTGATCCTCGCTGACTGTGAGCAGGTGATTCTTTCCCCCGCCCTCCATTGTTATCTTTGGCTGCTGGTATGATGGAGGAGGGTGAAGATGTAGAAGATGATGTTGGCGATGTCAGGCTTTCGAGATTATGGCCGAACAGGTGACGTCTCCGGGTAGAAGCTTAGATTTGTATTGCCTCGTCTCGTCTCTTTCCTTTTCAACTCTTCGCCTCAGATCTGTAAAATGGTGGAAGGTTGTGGCGGCGGAGCACGTTGGGCACCTTGGTCTCTTGTGTGAACCGAAAGAGGTGTGGACCACAGTTTTTGTTGTTGGCTTCGAACTCCAAACGATGAACAAAACGACACTTTCCTAATCAACCACTTTCCTTTTGAATAAATAAACACCTTTTCGCTTCTTTCTTTTAATCTTGAAAGATAGAAATCCCTGGGAAATAAATAAAGAAATCCAAGAAGCGAGTGGCGAGAGTAGGGTGTGTGCCTGCAAATGCCAAAAGGATACGGGCACGGTGGATGAATTCGATTCATGCGTGGTGTCTGCCGACGGCCATGTTTCTGTGGCGACACATGACACACGTACCACCAGAAAGGAACGGGAAAGCATTTTACAGGAGGAGCGAAATGAAAAGATTAGAAGACTGCTCGCTCCTTGTGGGGGTACGCTGACGTCGTTTGGCTCTCGGCGCCCGCGTTGAGTCCGAACGGAGCGATGGTCGCCTCCACCAGATCACCCGTGTCCTCGTCCTGCCCACAACACACACACACGCGCGCACACGCAAAACACACCGCCGCACGAGAAGAGAAAATTAATCAACAAAACGAAGCTGACCAGAAGAGAGATCTGCAAAAGTGTGAGGAGGCAGCCCAGCGTACGACGAACTGGTAGGAGCCGTGCATGGTGCCGTAGGGGGTCGCCATCCAACCCGACGACGACTTGTAGTGAAAGTTCTGGCCAGGAGCCTGTCGGTGTGTGTCGTGTTGTTGGTCGTGTGCGTGTGCGCAATAGTGTGTGCGTGGGCGTGACGCGTCGGTGATGTAGGGCTGGAGATGGTCGCACGTACCAGCACGGGGTAGAGGCCGACGACGCCGGGTCCCCGGACCTCTTCCGTCTGCCCGTCGCCGTCAAGAATGAGCCAGTGCCGCGAGAGGAGCTTGAACGTCTTGGTCGGGTGCAGCTGCCCACGACACCAGACACGCATGAGCCCAGCAGGGTCCTGGGCCGACACGTGGCAACACACGACACGACACGCGGCACATGACATACGACAAGACACGACACGACACGCAAGGCCCGGGGGGGACAAAGTACGTTGGTCATCTCGACGCGGTATTCGAATCGGGAGTACTTGGTCGTGTTATTGTCCATGCGGAACGGGAGCGGATAACTTCGGACCTCGATTAGAATCTGCCACACACACGTCCATGTGTCAGGCCACGACACACGCACGACACGCACGCACGCGCACGCACGACACGGCATGTACCCCGTTGGTGGTGCATTGGCTGTGGGGTTCGTAGACGAGCTGCTGGAGGGCGGCCGTTCGGTCGTTGAGGACTCGCAGCGAGGCGAAGGCGTCGCTGAAGTCGTCGTCTGCCTGGTGGTCGCCGTTCATGTCAGGCTACAGACTGCGATGATGATAAAGAAGAAGATGATGGTGGCTGTGGTGGCTATGGTGGTGATGATGATGACGACGATGATAATGGGTGATGATAAGGAAGGGGTACGGAGGGATGGCGCCGTGGTGCGTCGTCGTGGCTAGGTCGGTTCAAGTCTCGCCACAGCTGACGCGTCAGTGACGGTACGACGGCACCTGTTGTCACGTCGCCATCAGACGTACGCTACACGCTACAGGCACGGCACCCGACACACACGACACACGACACACGACACACGACACAGCACGCACCGGTGAGGGCGACGTCCTCGCGCAAGTGGGAACCGACAGTGGACGGAAGTGTGCCCTTGAGCCTGGAGCGGATTACATGCACCACCAGAGCCACACACGTAAGAGGTGTGCCAGTTGTCCAGGCGAAATAAAGGAAGCACACAGAAGGGAGGAGAGGGGGCACACCTGCGGATTTCGTTCTTTTCGCCCAGCACGAGGCGGCCGCGCAGCACTTCGCGTTCCCAACTCTCGCCCGACCTAAAATCCAGACCGGGCCGCAGAGATGAGTTTCCATTCATTGTACAAAACGCGATTTCAACTGAGAGAATGGAGATTGAGATGCAACCTCAACAGGGAGGAGTAAAGGAGCTTGCCCAACTTGTTATTCGATTTGGTCGCCATTTAGAGTCCTTTCGTTCCACAAAAATCGAACAAATAAAATGGACCTTTCGCTGCCTTGACGATTTGGCATGCCTGGCAAATACTAAAAGCAAAAAGAAAATGAAAATCGCCGCTGCCACGTCAGCGTGTTGGAATGCCAGCGATTCGCGCCACGTCTTCTGGGCCACGTCCGCACCACCTTCCATTTACAACTCACGAACACCAACAAAAGTAAACAAACAGCTCGACAAACACATAGCACACAATCATGGACTGGGCCTACGGATGGATGCGCAACATACTCGCCTACTTCAGTACGACTTCCTTCGCCGTTCACTGCTCGCCTCGTGGCATGGCCTGATTGTTTTTCCCTTATATATGTGTGCTGCACCACCTTTTGCAGACCTTTGGGACCTGCAGGCCAAGATGGTGTTCGTGGGGCTCGACAACGCCGGCAAGACCACACTGCTGGGCATGCTCAAGGACGACAAACTACGATCCACGCAACCCACATTCCAACCCAGTACGTCCACATATGCCGCCACACTCTTGTCTTTGAGTGCCTCTTCTCCAGGTTCTGCTTTGATCGTTCGTCGTGTTGCCATCTCACCCTCCGCCACTATCGCAGATCAGGAGGACATGAAGCTGGGCTGCGTCACCTTCCGGACGTTCGACCTGGGCGGACACAAGGGCGCTCGGCCACTGTGGCGCGACTACTTCATCGAAGTGGGTACGTCCTGCAACTCCCTCGATTGCGCCTTCTTTGGCACATTCCTGACTGCGCAGGTGAATGCTGACCTGATCACAACTGGTGGTGTTGCCGATGACAGATGTGATCGTGTTCCTGGTCGATGCATCCAACCGGGACAGGTTCGAGGAGTCGTACGAGGCGCTGGCGGGCATCCTCAAGAATGATGAGCTGGCCCACGTACCCGTTGTGGTCCTGGGCAATAAGATTGACAGGTACGAAATATCCCCTCTTTCTCTCTTTCGCGCTTTCTTTCTCTTCTGCCAGTGGCCCGTGGTTGCCCTGATGAGAAGCAGTAGTGGACGATATCTTCTCTCTTTAACAAGGGCCTCTGGCGCACTTGGTAACACGACGCAAGGCAATGCCTAACCTGTGCTTCCTCAACTTTGGTCCTCGTACCAGGCCCACGGCCGTGTCCGAGCGGGAGCTGAGGGAGGCGTTGGACCTGGCGGGCACGACCACGGGCAAGGGCAAGGCGAAGCTCCGGACCAACCAACGGCCACTCGAGGTACCCCCAACACGCATACATCAGTGAACACTACAAACTGAGGGCAGGGGTCTCACAAGCGCGTTTCATTGTGGCGACAATACAGCTATTTATGTGCAGTGTGGTGAAACGCTGCGGCTACATGGAGGCCTTTCAGTGGGTCGCCCAGTATGTACAGGGCAAGTGAGCGATGACGCTTGAGCCTTGTTGAATAGCATAAATTCCTTCGAGTCCGGTGAATATCTCGGCTACTTATTGCCAGTTCTAAATACATCAGGGGCCGGAAAGAAATGAAGGCTTTTGCCGGTGTGCCCAGCAACAAACGAACTACAGACAATACAACACCAGCTGGAGTTGGAGGCCGGTCGGGGCAAACCTGCGCGAACCGAAGAAGAGAAAGCGACGCACAACGGCCACGCGCCGGTGGCCAACAGAACGAACAGAAAGGGTAAGGAAAGAAGGCACCATACTCCGCCAGACCAACGTTTCACACTCACTCCTGTTTTCTTCACCACAAGAGAAAGCTGTGTAAGAGGCCCCTTGACCCTCCTTGAAAACGGAAACAATTTGGCACCACCGGATTCAAGCGACAGCCGTCTATTACAATACTTCTCGTCTTGAGGTGCGGCCGGCCACTCCACAAACCTTTGTTCAGCGGAACAAGAAGTGTTGACCGCTCGATCTTTTTCATCTTCTTGTTGATGCCCACCAGAGAGCGGGCAGCCCCCCACCACCACTCACTGGAAACCACCAGGAAGAGAGGGAAGAAAACGAGCAGCAGCTCTCCCTTCTTTTGGCGCCCGGCGCGGGGTGCCATCTCGTGCTGGTGCTCTTAGTTTGGGCGGCGAATGGGGGACAAGGTGCTGTGGCGAATGGAGCAGGAGCAGCTGCTCTACAACCAGCACGAAGATACGGCCAGCTCGTCGACAAGCACCACCACCAGCGGCAGAAGCGACAACACCAGCAGAACGAGGCGACCGGCGAGTAGCTACTACCCTACACTCGAGGCCGACGGCGACGAACCCAGTGGCGGAGCGAAAGAACGAAGCCTCGACGCGAAAGAACGAAAGCGACGGGGAGGGACCGTAACGGGGCTCGTCGCGCTGGACGGTGGCGAGGAAGAACGCGAACGCGAACGCGAAGTCGTCGAAGTCGGGGAAGAGGCCTCGCAGAGGTTTCAGGCCAGGTCGCAGCATCAACTCAAGCGACTCTCGCTCAGGATCAGGGAGAAGCTTCACCTGGCCTTCACCAGCAACAACAGCAGCGGCGAGCAGCCGACCCGACCGGCGCGCGACAGCCACTACCACCAGAACAGCCAGAGCCTGCCCCACAGCCCCAAGTTCCTCTCGACTAGCGAACCCGCGGAGCAGCTGCAGCCCGCCGCCCAGCCACTCACCTCGTCGCGTTCGTCGCCTTCATTTTCCTCGTCGTCTTCGTTCTTTTCGCCGTCGAATTCGCCTGCCGGTTCGACGCCGACATCGCCCAAGGGTCGCCGCGGCCTCGCTTCGTCGGTGAGCCCGCGTGCCAGACAGCAACAGGCCGTCGTCGTGCCCAGCCGCGGGGAGAAGGAGAAGAAAAGCCAGGAAGAAAAGAAAAGCAAGAAGAAAGGCGGTTCCCGAGGACACAAAGCTCGCGGCGGTGGCTCTGCCGCTGGGGACGACCGGAAGACGGAGGACAACAGCGACAGCAGCAACAACAACCAAAAGCATAAGAACAACAAGAAGAACAAGAACAAGAAGGAGGAGAAGAGAGAAGGAGGAAACGACGGCAACGACAGCGACAGCAGGCCAAGTCCGCGGATGCAGGGAGGCTCATCGAAGCGGCTCGGCGGAATGTTCCACTTCAGCAGCAGGAGCAAGGACAAGGGGGGAAGTTTGGAGGAGGACGCGATGATGATGGCGACGGCGGCGACCACCTCGTCGCCCACACGCTCGAGAACGATGCGCAAGAACGAAGGCGGCGACGAGAAAACGAGAAAGATCGTAAAAAGCGACGAAGGCAAGGGGGGAGGCAACGCAGGCAAAAGCTCGTCGCCCGATTTGGAGAATCGAGCAGCGAAGCGAGGAGTCGCCAAGATTGGAATTCGAGTAGAGGGATCAATTGATGGAGAGGAGGAGGAGAGGGAAGAAGAAGGCCAAGACGATCTCGATGGGGAGGAGGAAGGGCAATACGATGAGGAGAAGGGATGGATCTTGCCAACGACAGACATCGAGCTCCTGATTGAGGCGTTTGCATCGGCGTCGCCGCTGCAAGGCAGCAGCTCGGGCGAATCGACACCGGTGCTCGGGTGGGTCTCGAAGAGGCCCACGTCGCCCCGAGGGGGCGGCGAGCAACTGCTGCTCGAGGTCGGCAGCCCCAAGAAGAAGGAGAACATGCGACTACGGCTGTCCGCTTCTCTTTCCTCCTTCGCCTTCTCGCCCATCTCTTCATCCAAGAAGCAGGTAAAGCCCCTTGTCGATTTTTCTCTTTTTTTATTATTATTTTCCATTTTTATGTTTGTTGAACGCGTGATATTATTATTATTACTTCGTATATTACCCTTTCTTGTTGTCTTGTGCTATTTCTTTTCCGCCCAAATGACCCCCGCCTTTGCCTCGCACGCTCTTTTGCACGTATCGTGCATCGCAGGCCCCACCGACCGCCGGACCAGAGAGCCAGTCCGCGCAGGTCAAGGCCTCCTCCGACGCCGCCTCCGCCGCAGGGAAGAAGCAGAAGGACGGTAAGTTTCGATTCCTGCACCTCCAGCGCTCGTCGGCCCAGCTCCCGCTGCCTTCGTCGGCGGCCTCGGCCTCTGCGCCGTCGCTGCCGACCGTAGACAAGGAGAGCAGCAGCAGCAGCGCACACACCCTCAGGTCGCGCACGCCCAGCAAGGAGGAGCTCAAGCAGATCAAGCTCGAGCGAAAGACTGCCAAGAAGCTCGAGAAGCTCGAGAAGAAGAACAACAACAAGCGGGACAGCAACGGCGAGAACAACGGCGGCAAGAAGAAGCGCAGCAGCAGGAGGTCCAATGCTGGCGCCGGTGGCGCCGGGTCGGCCGACAAGGACAGCGATGGCACGCGAAGCATCACCTCGAGCCAGGAGAAGTCCACCGACGACGACAACGACGACGGCGAGCTCGGGCCTGTGCCGTCGGACAGCGGCTGCTCGCTCCACACCACATTCGACGAGCACCAGCTGCTTCTGGTGGGCGCCGGCGCCTCGTCGCCGGGCCTCGACGAGCTGCTCGAGATCGAGATCGCCAAGCTCAAGGAGGAGGAGGCGCGACGCGCGCTCAGGAAGCAGCAGGAGAAGCTCAACAAGGCAGCCGAGCAACAGCATCGACAGCAACGCGAAGAAGCCGCGGCTGCTCTGGTGGCGAAGAAGAGCAGCGAGCGGGGCGAGCTCAAGACGTCAACCGAATGGCGGTCCGGCCGCATATCGCCCGTCCCGTCGACCACCACCGGCGAGCGCACCACCGTCATACGAAGCTGCCTGCGCCGGAGCGAAGAAGGCGCGAAGAAGCCGGCCGAGCCCGCTGCGGCCTCGAATGTACAGCCAGTCGCGGAGGCGGTGGTGGCCACCACCACTACCACCGCCGCCTGGCAGTACGACAGCAGCGACGAGGACGAGCTGGACGAGGAGCACGGCTGGATCGACCCGGCGCGAGTGGTCGGCTCTCAGCTGCGGCTGAGGGGGGAGTCCACGGCGGCGGCGGCGGCGGTGCGCGATCTGCTCGAAAGCAGCGGCGAGGACCCCTACGGCGAGCGAGGCGCCGAGCGCGGGTGGATATTCCCCGACGAGGAGATGAAATGCGAAGGCGACGATGATGAAGACGAGGAGGAGGAAGAAGACGACAAGAAGGCGTGGCGAAAGACGACGCCTCCCATACTCGTCGAGCCCCGTGAACACAGCGGCGGTCCGGTCTTTCTCATGTCCAAGGGCGCCAACATATTCTTCCGCGTTCAGTCCCAAGCCCGTACGCCGCCACATTCGCCGCCCTACCCTCGCTCGCTCATTCCCCCGCGCGCAGTGTTAACTCATTTGCTGTCTGCGTGTCGTGTCTGGCAACAGAGATGGGGAAGATCAAGAAGGGCGCCGACATCAACAACATGGGCTACATGAGCTTGAAGGGCAATCGGTCGAGCATGCTCCGTAACCTGAAAGATCAGCAAGGTACGCACACGCACACGCACACGCACACGCACACGCACACGCACACGCACACGCACACGCACACGCACACGCACACGCACACGCACACGCACACGCACACGCACACGCACACGCACACGCACACGAGAGCCACAGGTGGTCTGACTCGCTAGCTTTCCTTCGGGGGGTGCACCATAGATGAAAAGGAGCGGGTGAAGCTCGCCCTGCTCCAATTTAAGGCGCGCAGGGGCTGGTCCCGTTCATGGGAGAACCTCACCGAGGCCGCGCGCGGCCCAATCGAGGCCAACGTGGTCACCATCCAGACCTGCGCCCGCCGTTTTCTCGGTACCTCTCCTCCCCCACTCCACTCGACCTCCTCCAATCGGCCTGGGTACTGACGGGCTGGTTCGATTGGTTCGGCGTGAACAGCCAAGCGATTCCGAGCGAGGCTCAATGTCGCCAACGAGCTGCTGCTGACGGAGAAGAGCTACGTGAAGGCGCTGAGCGTGGTGGTCGAGGTGTTCTACTACCCGCTGCTCATGCAGGAGCCGCAGCTAGCGACGACCACCGCGAGCGCGACGACGACGACGCCCACGTCGCCGCCGGCCAGCGCTGGCGGCTGCCGTGCATCGACCGAACTGCAGCAGCAAATGCGTCAGACCGGAGGGCGAGTGGCGACGATCTTCTCGGTGGCCGACAAGCTGCTCTTCGCGCACCGAACATTCTGTGCCATCCTCAATGAGCGCCTGCGCAACCTCGACGAGTTCCGGCACAAGGGCCTCGGCGACATTTTCCTCAAGAAAACACGTACTCCTCCTCACATCCGTGTGTGTGTGTGTGTGTGTGTGTGGGTTCGTGTGTGTCGTTTTGAACGAAGAACTAATGATGGGAGAATAAAACCAGGTTTCTTCGACGTCTATGTCAAGTACATCAACAACTACAAGTCGGCAATTGAAACGCTCAACCGGTGCAAGGAGGAGGACCCGGCCATGGCCAAGTTCATCGCCGAGTGCGAAGCCAAGAAGGAGTGCGGCTACATGGACCTCTCCTCCTTCCTCATCCAGCCCGTCCAGCGAATCCCGCGCTACGTGCTGCTCCTCAGCCAACTCCTACGGTACCTTCGCCACAAACATTTATTAATTCGTTTCGTTTGTTTTCATTGCTAATTGTTTATGAATTTATTTATTTATTTTGCAGGAAAACGACTGCGGGCACGAAGGTGCACGCGGAATTGTACAGGGCCGTGGAGAAGATGAGGCAGGCCACCCACCACCTCAACGAGCAGAAGAGGTACTACATGCGGCGCACTTTCTCAAGGGCTGGTATAATTTCATTGCCGTGTGCTGACGCACATACCGCACAGGGACGCGGAGAATGCCGAGTACGTGGCCAAGCTGTGCTCTGCGCTCGTCATGCCCAACAGCGTCCAACGGCAAAAGCGGCGCCGCATCGCGTCGTTTGACTTCAGGTGCTTATCTACACTCGATTTATGTGTCACACCTGGGTCCGTTTTTTGGCACTCACACTGCCATCTTTCGTACACACAGCGCCGAGCGGCGGTTCATCAAGGAGGGCGACGTCACGCTGCTGGCGTCGAAATTCACGCCGGGCAAACCCCTCAAGAAGGCCAGGTCGGAAGGTGTATGCCCGTCCCTTTCGGTGGTGGTGGTGGTGACGATGATGAAACACACAGCTTACACACGACACACGCACGACACGTGATAGAGCTCCACCTGATGCTGTTCAACGACGTGCTGCTGATGTGCACGCGACTTCACACGTCGTCGCGCGAGCGACGCCGCAGCGTACGCGCCGCTCTCAAGAGCGACGACAGTATGGTCGGCGGCCCCGGCGGCCCTAATGGCGGCAGCAGCGGGTCATCGGATGGCGACGGCGGTAGCGGCGGCGGTGGAGGAACGCTGCACCGCCTGCTGGCCTCCATTCCCGGCGTGGTCTCCCCGCCATCCAGTCGACGCCCGAGCCTCCACTCCCACGCCTCCGCCGCCTCATCGTCATTGCCATCGTCGCCGCCTTCAGCGCCGCTGCCCGTCACACAATCGACCGAATTCACTTCTCCACCTTCTTCTCCGCAGTCCTATTCGCCACTGACCAGCCCCGGCCGTACGCTCACGCCCGTTCATCATCCTTTCTCCCGCTGCAGCTGATCGCGTGTCGTGTGTCGTGTCGTGTCGTGTGTGCGGTGTCGCAGTTCCGGTCAAGTACGACATCCAGGAGGTCGTTGAACTGTGGAAGGTGCACGTACTCGATCTCCCTGCCGACACCTGTACGTTGCAATGCCCCCACTCCACGTTCCGCTTAGTAGAGCGACATGGGAAAATTTATGGATTTTTATATATACACACATTCATAAATAATGCTTACCATTGTGTTGATGTGTTTTACATCGCAGATGGCGAGGGACTGGTGGTGGTGAGCACGCCTCTCCGCAGCTTTGTGTTTGCCTTTGGCAGCGCGGCGACCAAGGGCGAGTGGATGACCGCCCTTCAATCCGCCGTGCAGAGGCTCTTCACCAGTACGTCCTCGCCTGGTTGATCGCCATCATTTGCGTGTCTCCTTCGCCTTCCTCCTCGTCGTATTCTCACCCACGCCTTTCTCACACAGGTATCTGACTGGCCACAACACACTCAAAATCGGGGGGGGGGGAATAAAAAATAAATTTGGCTGAAACATCGTGGTGCTGAAAGACGCGGATTCATGTGCCAGTTGTGGAGGAGAACACCCAAGTGCCATGGTTGGGCTACTGCCTCACTTCCACTCAACCTGCAACCACAGCATCCACTATGGCATGCAGCGTTCTGCTGCTGGGCTGCAGTAGGCCATCAACCCCTTTTTTGGGATTTATACCTTTTCCCTACAGCTGCCATAATTTGCCCAAAAATTACGCAGAACTTTTTGGCAGTTTCCAAGATAAATGAAATTGCAATTTGAAGCTGTAAAATAAAAGCCTTGAGGCCGGTAGCGGGCACACCAGCACAAGCAAGTATGCCACCCAAGCGCAAGCACCAGCAGCAGGCCGAGACGGAGCACCAGGCTGCGCCAGAGGACCAGCAGGAGAAAGGAGAGAAGGAAGAAGAGCAACAAGAGGAGGCTAAGGCGAGTGAAGAGAAGGCCAAGGAGGAAGAAGAGGGGGTGGGGGCAAAAGCAGCGTCCTCACCCAAGGAAGAAAAAGACATAAAAGAAGAAGAAGAGAAAGATGCGCCAGAGGTGAAGCGCAGGAAGGTCAGCTTCCAAGAAGAAAAAGAAGAGAAGAAGGAGGAGAAGAAGAACGTTCAAGAAGGCGCGGTCCAACCGTTCGAGTTTGCGTGGGACAAGTTCATCGGGCTGCTCGAGGGCGACGGCGCGGGCTTCACGGGCGCCGAGCCGTACGTCAGCGTGTGCGACGAACCGGTGGACGAGTCTCTGGTGCGGGCCGGCCTCGAGCTGCTCAACGCCGCGACAGGTCCGTGGCACGAGGACGCCGACGAGGGCCGACGCCGCACCGAGCAAGTGGCGGCCAGCGGTGGCGACTATGGCGACTCGGTCGTGCGCGTCTACAGGGCATCGTCGTCATCGACCGAACCGCACAACGAGCCCGACCGCTACGAGCTCACCTTCCTCCAATGCCCTGGCTTCGCCCATTTCGAGTGCGTGTCGTGTCGTGTCGTGTCGTGTCGTGTGTTTTCCCCGCGTGCGTGTCGTGCGGTGTGTGCGGTGAACTGACGGTAAGGGGGGGGGGTTACGGAACACGGCAGGTACGTGTTCGTGGTGGACAAGGCCAAGCGGCGCTTCGTGTTTGTGGGCGAGGCTGGCTCACACCCTCAGGCGGGCACCAACGACTTCGTCTACGACAACTCAGACGGCAGCGGGCCGGGTCTGCTGCCCGACTCGTCGGTGCCGCCCACGCCCACGACCCTGCTCGATGCCGCCCGGCAACGCTTCTCCGAGTTCTGCCTCGACCACCATCACTGATGCCGTCCAAACCATGTCCAAACCATTTCCCAACCATTTGTGAAACGTGAAACCAAGTCAGAAAATCCAAAGGTTGGTTCATTAATTTTCATGCATGTTGCTCTCAAGACTTGTGCATTCCTGGCGTGTGGGCGTTGAGTACAGAGTCAGCTGTGTTTTTCTGCATTGCCACAGGCAAATGTCAGCTGTTCGCGCTCTTTGCTGCCTGACTGCCCCAGCAATGCATCTCTGAACACAACAAGTACTTTGCTCCGCGAATGGTTCGTTGTCTTTTCGTTTCTTTTCTTTTCTTTCTTTTGGGTGAACTGAACTGGCTTTTACTTGCTCTTAGCACGAATGGAAGGAGAGGGCACTACGAACCACCACGCTTCATCACTGGCCGAGAAGGTGGTGGTGGGCAAGTGCCGGATGTATGAGGCCGAGTTTCCAGAGCGAGACGAGCTGGTGCTGGTTCGGGTGATCGACAGCCGGCCAGACGAACTCTTCTACACCGTCGCGCTGCTCGAGTACAACGACAAGGAAGGCATCGTCCTGCGCGACCACTTCTCCGGGAGGCGCTGCTCCAAGATAGCCAGCGCCCAGCGGGTGGGAAAGGAGGAGGTGGCGCGGGTGGTGCGAGTAGACAAGGAACGGGGCTACATCGACCTCTCCATGAGACTGCGCTCGCAAGACAGCGCCGTGGAGTGCTCCAAGCGGTACCGCAAGTCGAAGGCCGTGCACTGCATCATGACCCACGCCGCAGAGCTGCTGCAGAGGGAAAGCGAGAACGGCCTCACCCTGGAGCAACTGTACCGGCGCGTCGGCTGGCCGCTCTACGCCAAGTACGGCCACGCCTACGATGCCTTCGAGAAGGCGGCCGCGGGCGAGGAGGACGTCTTCGAGGGCATCGCCGACATCCCGGCCGACATCAAGCACACCCTCCTCCAAGCCATCCAACGCCATCCCCAGCCACGACCCTCTACTTCCTTGGCCGCTTTCACGTCGTGAGAGATCCCTCCTGACCACCAGTTCTCAGAGAGTCAGCAGAGCCAATCAATCGAACAAAACTAGCTAGTTTATACTAGCTAAACTAGCATGCTATGCTTCTCGCACGACACACGCAAACACACCACGCTCGGATGCAAAACAAGCAAAACAAAAGGAGCACGAAGTGGGTAGAGGTGTTATGAACAGGTCTAGTCTTGTATTTGCAAGAAGAGGAGGGGAAACACTCTAGTTGCCACCGCGGAGGCGGAGGACGAGGTGGAGGGTGGACTCCTTCTGGATGTTGTAGTCGGCCAGAGTACGGCCGTCCTCGAGCTGCTTGCCAGCGAAGATGAGACGCTGCTGGTCAGGAGGGATACCCTCCTTGTCCTGGATCTTCTGCTTCACGTTCTCGATCGTGTCGGACGACTCGACCTCGAGGGTGATCGTCTTACCCGTGAGGGTCTTGACGAAGATCTGCATACCACCACGAAGACGAAGGACGAGGTGGAGGGTGGACTCCTTCTGGATGTTGTAGTCGGCGAGCGTGCGGCCGTCCTCGAGCTGCTTGCCGGCGAAGATAAGGCGCTGCTGGTCGGGAGGAATACCCTCCTTGTCCTGAATCTTTTGCTTGACGTTCTCGATCGTGTCGCTGGACTCGACCTCGAGGGTGATAGTCTTGCCGGTCAGCGTCTTGACGAAGATCTGCATACCGCCGCGCAGACGAAGAACGAGGTGGAGGGTGGACTCCTTCTGGATGTTGTAGTCAGCAAGAGTACGGCCGTCCTCGAGCTGCTTGCCGGCGAAGATGAGACGCTGCTGATCAGGAGGGATGCCCTCCTTGTCCTGAATCTTCTGCTTCACGTTCTCGATCGTGTCGCTCGACTCGACCTCGAGGGTGATGGTCTTGCCGGTGAGGGTCTTCACGAAGATCTGCATTGTTGGCTGCTTGTGTGTAGCGCTTGTTGTGGTGTGTTGTGTTGGTTTCTTCGTCTGCCTTTTTATGTGGCGCTCCCGGCTAAAGAAGTGAAGCCGTTTCGCTGCTTTTTCGTTCGTTCGTGAAAACGTTTCAGAAATGATGCCAGCGGAGTCGTGGTCCCACACGGCAGGTACGCGTTCGTGGCGGACAAGATCTTGCGGCGCTCGCGTTCGTGGGCGTATGCGGCTCGCAGCAAGACCTCGGCCTTCTCGCCAACTCGGATGGGGGCAGGTCGGACCTGCTGCCCAGCCGGAGAACCTCACCAGCCCGCCAAGCACCGCCTCCCCGAGTTGTGCTCCAACCCCACAGCGTACCACTGATCGGGCGCATCTCGCCTTCTGAACGGCAAACATACTTCAGCAATTAATTTCATTGCACTGGAGTTGCGTGCGTGTGTGTGTGCGTGTGCTGTGTGTGTGTGTCGTGTGTGTCGTGTGTGTCGTGTGTGTCGTGTGTGTCGTGTGTGTCGTGTGTGTGGTGTGTGTTGTCCAACCTGATTCAACGATGTTGCGACTCGAGGTCGGACGTGGGCTCGATGACAAGGAAGGGGAAGGAGACGCTGGTGGTCTTCGCCAAGCTATACACAAACAGGATGCTCGCCCTGTGCGCGTACGTTTAGAAATAACACAATAAATGTATAAAACGTGATCACCACACGTCGTCTTCATAGATGCCAGAGTGGTGGATACCATATGAGGCTGTAGAAGAAGAGTCGATCATCGAACCAACTGAACGCGTCCCAGGCGATCAGAAACCCGATCAAGATGCCCGACAGATGACCCTGATAGATGTGTCAGCCACCAACCACACTTTGCGCGCGCGCACGCACACACACGCACACACCACATACACGAATAAATGAATCGAGCGACTGGAAGGAGAGAGGGGTACGATGAACGAGGCGTTGGGGATGATAAGGGAAGTGAGGATGAGGGAGGTGAAGGGCGCGAGAGCGATGGGAACGGGGAAGCCGAATATGGGGATGGTGGG